GTATAACCAGCTCTTGCCACTGCATCCTGGTCAGCACCTGCCTGGAGAAGCACATTTATCAAATTCTGATGGCCAGCTTGGGCTGCTACATGCAGTGCCGTATAGTCGTTGTTTTTGGCATCCTTGTCAACAGCTGCCTGCAGCAGTATAGCTACCACACTTGCATCTACTACACTGTCACTTGCCCTGAAGAGTCGTTTTATCGGATCTGCTTCAAACTCTTCACATAATTCGATTGTTTTCAACCCTATGGGACTTGGTGCACAGGTCCTGTTGACCAGATCTGATGCTTCGGACTCTCCGGACCAAGAAGTCTCATCGGAGCGGTCTGAGGGGTCCATCAAGCCCCGCTGCTGAATCTGCCTGCACACTGCATGAGCCTGTTCTTCAGATATCCCTTGCTGCATCAAAATGGTCATCATTTCTGCCTGGAAATTCCCGTCTCTGGTCATTTCAGTGTGGGGAAGGGATCCAGATCTAGCATCTTCGCTTCTTGCCTCGTCTTCCATGTCGGCCTCCATCTGCCTGCGATCACTCCGCGAAACAACCGTATGCGCAGCCTGCCTGGCAGTGTGCCTCTGCCTCAAATGACGGCCCTCAATGAAACGTGCTTGTTGGCGAATGTCTTGGAGCACTCCATTCCTTCTCTCGCCTTAGATCAAACGCGGATCAAGAAATCTGAAGATCCGGGACTGTTCGTTGAAAAAGGGCATCATGCTGAACTTAATATTTATTGATATTAATAGAATTTAATTGATGTTATATTGAGTGCCCAACAATTTGTTTTCCCGGCCAAGGGAACTATTGCAAAGCTACGCAGCTGCTGCACCCATAGCCTTCCTTAAGACATTTACAGTAATGAAAACCGACAAACAAACAGATCGATACGTGTGCGTGCATTACATTGACAGAACTTATTCGATCCTGGTGTTTCTTGTGAAAGTTGTGTCAGGCAAACAACACATAATATATAAACTACCTCTTACTCCAAAGAAGCACCCCAGGAGATAGGTGGAGATAGGCGAACTTGGATTACCAAACCCAAATATCTGTTCACCAAAACGCCAACTCTGGATCTTTGTTTGAAAACAAACTCACCTTATCCTTTAGGGCACCTCCTGGCCCCTGGTGATCAAACCCTTGAATATCTGGCACCAGTAGTAGCCGCCTAGGGCCGCTGTACAACAAGGTTTCCTGTCCACCTTGGAAGAATCTCCCACAAAAATGGCCTTGGTCATGGGGATTTTTTGGAGGATGGCCTGGGTTCTAGGTTGTGACAGATATGAACACCTTGCTCAGAATGCCTGTCGGTCAACAGCGTGGTGTTCAAGGGGATGCTAGAAAAGTATCCCATCTCCTCCATGCTTTATGGGAAACACAGGCAAACAAAAAGCAATCCAAAAGCAACTCAGAGTGACTCAAATTTGTCATCGCTCTTCTCAAATTGATGTGGGCGGCTCGAGGAGTGATCTCACCTGTGGCATCATCATCATCATCATCATCATCATCATGATGGACTTCATGGTCATGGACTTCAGAACTCCACGGCTGATTCACCAGGAGTGGCTTTACCCAGAGCAAAATATTCCGAGCAAATGCTTCTTGCTGCTCTTCGATGGAGACGTCTTCATTCCCTTCCACTGACACTGGGTCAGCGGCAAATAAACATGCATGTCCATCCATAAAGGCTTTCATGTCCTGCACCTGCGCTGTCCACCATCTTGTGTCCACACGCTCTTTGGCGTATTTGCTGGCCACCCTCAGCGATGAGGTCATTTGCAGGTCGGCCGGCACAAAGGCCAGCACCTTTGCCAGCACATCGGCTGGCAGCGCCATGAGGTAGCAGCCAAGTGGGCGATAGCAAACAAATAAATGGACATGATGAAACCATTTTGACTTGCCTGTGACACTTGCCCATGTGAGCATGATGTGTTGTTGCAAAAACATTATACAAATTATATATAGCTATGCCATGCGCAGCTTTTCTGGAGAGGACGGTTTTTGAATGCTCTGCTTTGGTGTCTAGTCACTGACTAGAGCTGTTGCACAAGGCACCTTTGAGCCTTTCAAGTCAAGCCACCAAAGCTTGGACACACATTTCAATAGATGCCCAAACCGACTGCAACTCTCAGTTTCAGTTGGCTTCGTCAGAGGTCTTTGGCAAAAAACACCACTAAGCCGAGTCGAACACGACTAAGCCGACGCCGAGTCGGCTCCACAGGCGCTCCTGCAGTGGCTCCTTCTCCCTCCGCCCGCATCCAGGCACGCTCGGCCTCCAAGTCCTGGTCGACTCAAGGGGCCCGGATTTGGAGGGGCCCAAAGAACCTGCCAACATGTTGGAGGTGGTGAAAAAACCACATGATGACATGGAATTGCTTCTATGGAATTGCTTTAACATGCTTTAAAATTCTTCAAAACACTGAGGTGCCAAAATGCTTGGAATGGCTTCAAATGTCAAGACATTGGAGTCCCAAATTGCTTGAACATCAAGTTTGAAGAGTTGGAACGTTTTGACTCGCGTTGTGTGAGTGTAGATGCCGATCACCCAAAACTGAAGCAAAAGAACAAGCATCAATCATGATATATAACTCTTGGATCTTCTTCACACCGGCATCCTGACAAGATCTGGGAACATCCACTGAGTCAATGCTTTGGGGTGTCAAGTTGGATCCTTTTGTGAGATCGTTCAACCTCACCTTTCCCCAAGAGTCCATGGAATCATGATTATCTTGAAGTCTCCATGACCCCCAGCAACACTGGGCAGTAGCGTGCAGCAAGCCACAAGCCCTTGGGTGGGAGAATCTTAACGTCCAACTGACCTTTGGGGAGAACCCTTTTTACAAAATACACCGGAGAAAACCCTAGAGAAACTAAGCCCGGTTCACAGTTCATGGCAGGTCAATTTTCAACACACTGTCAGCTGGGAGAGAATCTGGCACGAATAAGGAACCAGCAGTGATTGTACCTGAGAGATGATAAACAATGACCTCTCCCCTCAACATCCAATAACCAGCTTTGGGAAAATGTTTTTCTTTTAACCAACGTCCTCCAACTCACCTCAACACCTTTTGGGAGGTCTCTGGACCCTAACCGTCACCTTTACAAAAGAGTCCCTCTGCTCCCGGACGAATTTACAAAAAGAATCCAGAAAAAGAAGACAAGATCGATGCGTCCCCTTCTGGGGTCATAGCTTGGACTCTTTTTGCCTTACCGATTTCCACGGCACCTCCCCACAGCGACTTCTTCGGAGCCGCCCGAGGTTTCTTCGGATTTGGGTCCGTCGGCCTCGGTGAGCTTGTGGCCACCGGCCATGTCGTTCCAGCGTTCGTATCCAGCTGCGAGCTCCTGTGGCCACATGCGATCGTGCTCGAAACCTGAAAAAAGAATGCGTGTCACACCCTATTAGGCCAAGGGCACGATTGGGATCAGCCCTCCCTTGAAGACATCCGCTCATGTCAGTCTCCCGATCATCCACTTCTGATGGACTGCGTAAGTTGGTAGTATAGACGTGGACAGTGGACGATTTTCGTGTGGAGTAGACATAAGTTTTTGTCCACTGAGTTCAGTTGTAGAAGATTTCTGCTGAGCTTGGTGAGTGTTGATGAGTCTCGATCCAAAGCTGACAGTTCAGGATCCCAGGATCCTGATCACCCAAATTGATGAGTCTAGCCACCTATAGCCTTTCGATCGGTTGATTTCCTGACATGCCTGACGGCCCGGACCTCCGGACGTGTGCCCTGTTAGGGTGGCAGTCTTCATTGATCATTCAAAGCTTGTTTGTTTGAAAAAACGCCGCTGAAGTCGGCCTCCCATAGAGAATTTCAGCTCAATAGTGAAGGTCTATGGTCCATGGTCAAGGCTCCTACTATGTTCCTGAAAATACCCAGCACTATCCTATCTCAAACAAAATTATGTAATATTGTGATATATATATATATAAGTTTGATGACAAAGTTATATTTGTAAACCCTGTGGATGAAAGCATCTTGTCTCCCAAACGACCTCTGTTTGGGGTCCATGTGTCTCCCACACTCAGGAAGGGTGGTGAATCGAAATGAAACAGAAGATCAGTTCAGTGTGTCCTACAACAAGTGTTGCAAGTTTAGCTCATCAGAATACTCTAAGACCTGTTTGAGGTGCTCTTCTAAACGTCTGGATGAGCGGAGCTTCTGTCAGTGTTTAAGTTGGTCCAACGAAGTGTCCTCCAGCGCCCATCTTTCCCACGGGAAATTTGGAATACACTACTGGGTCACTACCACTGTGTATGAGTCGCAACGGGTCACTAGACATGGAAAAGTGAGTGCTTTCTATCCAAAACTCTTACACACGATCTCTCTGCAATTTTTTTAGTACAGCACACTTACAGTAACTGTAGTACACCTATCACTGCCCGCCTATGCTGCTTCTCCACTGAGTCCACACCTACCATAGCCCCGTTCCCAAGCCCCGCCACCGGCCCGACCGATCCACCGGTCCCCAAACCGTCGGACGCAGCGAGGACGTCCTCCAGTCGATGGGCGATGCAGCCGAGGACGTCCTCCGCCACGAGCGCCACCACCATGGAGGAATCCACCTGTGGGGGCACCGCCATGTGGCACCCGCGCACACACAGCGAAGCGAAGGTGGGCCACTTGGAAGCAGTTGGGTATAGCTTGTTCTTGAAAGATCCAAATTCTTCGGGTCAATTCAGACATGATGTTCTAAACACCCATGTACAATGCATTCCCAAGGAAGGAACACTCTTTCAGGCATATGAAGGACCATGAGTCTCACATTTGGTGACTTTGAAGAGTGGCCACCTGTCTCCTATAGCCATTCTCCGACATGGCCGCTTGTAAATCAAACAGTTCAAACGAGATCAAACAAGAATTCTACTGCCACCGCATACATCATCGTCTTCATCTTGCTCCTTCTTAAACCTTAACACATCTTCAACTGCAACTTAGGTCAAGCAGATCTCCAGAATTTAAACCTGCTAAAAGTCGTATTATAATCCAGTCGAATCCTTATCTTTCTCAACCAGCCATATATACCAGCCCTCCCTCCCAAGCCCCACGTGTTTCCGAACCGCCACCTACCCACCCGTCCGTCTCACACGCTCTCCGCGCTCCGTCCGCGCTCCGTCCGCGCTCCGTCCGCGCTCCGTCCACGCTCCGTCCACGCTCTACCGCCCTACGCGGCCGCCTCCACGGCGAAGAGCACCATGTGGAGCATGGCATCCAACGACTCCGCCGCGCTGAGGCGCTGCGCCGCGTCCATCCGCGACCTCGAACGGAGAGGCGCCCGGAGACGCGTGTCGCGAGCGCGAGCACACGCGCCGTGCGCGCCGTGCGCTCTGTGCAATCAGCAGCTGAGAACACGCAGTGGCACGCCGTGGTGAACGTGCAAAGACATGGAGGAGGGAGAGGGAACTGAGTGAAGTCGGAAGGTATTTTGTTGGATGGTAAACAAGCGACTTCTCTCAGCGCGGTGTGAGGGCTCATCCGCTTCATCAGAACCCTTCTCCGCGCTGGCCATTCAAAACGAAAAGCATAAACACAAATAGATAAATTCGCAGGTCAAGGCGCCTGGCTTAGTGGTGGCAAAGGGTGAAACACTTGCATATGCGGTGACACTTGCATATGCGGTGCATGACCATACTGCCCAATGCTGCCAATGCTTAGTCACTTTGTAGTCTATACTATATGACATCTATTACTAAGTAATGGTCTGTCAAATAACTATATACATCCAATTACTCATCTAATTGCCTTCTTGCCACACAGTTGGACATTACTTGGGACTCCCAACAGTTCATCGACACGTCATCGTCGTTGGACCCCTTGGGCCCCTGAAACATCGAGAAAGTCACCACAAACCTGGGCTCCCTTCCTTTCCATCCATCTCAGTCTGACCAGTGTGGTATCGGAATCCTCCAGGTGTGGCCGGAATCTGCCCGGGTGTGGCCGGATTCTGCCATCGTCTCTTGGGCGGCCCGAGCTCCAAGATCTTCTTGCCATGAACCTTGAACCATCCAACCTCGGCCACGAGCGAAAGCGCGAGCGAGCTCGCTGGAGCAGCTGTTCCGAAGCAGCAGCTTCCCGGGTGTTGTGGCGATGGCTCACAGAGCTCAGTTGCCACCAGTGATCAGATATGCTTTTGCTGAAAGACCGGTGAAACTCGAGTGGAACTATTTCTGGTATATTCTTTCTTCTGGGGTATCCCAAAAGAAACTATTTCTTCTGGTATAGTGAAACTATTTCTGGGGTATCCCAGATTTCATGTCTTCACTGATAGTTGTGGGTCCTGCAATGGTGGAATATAGTCTTTCGACGGGTAACATCATGTGGCTGCCGGGTGGTTGCACCACCCCCTATATATTATGCGAGTGAATCAGGATAGCATACCCCAGTTGCAGAGATGTGGAAAAGAAACACAACTATTCCCGGCCACTCTATTGCGTGATGAGATGAGATGCTAGGAAGTTGGAAGTTCCTCCTTGAGCACCTGCGCAGTTGCAGTATTGCAGGTCTGCAGCATCTGAATGCATTTCATGGAGGGTACACTTGCCCTGGGAAACCAGCCCCAGAAGAATCGAGTGATGGGTATCTCAGCTTAGCCCGTTGAAAGCCGAGGAAGAAAAGCCTCCAAAGGTTTTCAGCACCTCTTTGGGTGAACTCAGAATTGCAGGGACATGCAGGGACTGCTTCTGTGGTAGATCTTGGACACCTCCAAAACCTTACCAAGGGACAGCCTTTTTGCTGAAATGAGGCATCCCCAGACCAACATACTCTCCAAATGTCACCCTATAAAATATATAGTTACATGGCATCACTGCATGTTGACGATTTGATTCATCAAACCTATATATATATACTCTTCCTCAAGCTATATATCAACTTGATGGTGTGAACAAGTTCAGGACATCCTTCCATGTCGTGTAGCTGCGTAGCTTCTTTCCACAAAAAACACAGCCGGGCCGATCCGAACGAGTTTACCGAAGTGGCCAAGCGCTCGCCCACGCCCAGGCCACGCCAGCGCGTCCACAGGTTGCCTTGGCGCGTGCGGAGTGGTGCTGGTGCTGAACTCAGGAGAACACCCCTTTTTTGGGATGCTATGGCTATGGCCAGCTATGTATGTGTATGGCCCCAAGAGTTGTATGATGTAATTCTTATAGATTGATGTGTTTGGATAGAAACTATGGATCCTGATCCTATACCTTGCTTTCCAGGATAGGAGGCGATTCCGCACGACCTCACGAAGGGCCCCAAAATGGAATGCTCTGAACATCGCGGAGGATTCGAGCGCAGGGCGTGCTTGGCAGTGCTGCAGTGCCGAAGCCCAAGAACAACAAAAACCTGGAAGACGCTAATATCATGGAAAGGAAATCACTGACTCTTACGATGGATTCGTTGATGCGGGCTATCCACAAATCCACAAATCTATACAAATCTCATCACCCATTCACCGTTTCATGCTCTTCGGTACCGACCCTTGGAGCTCCCACCTGAGATCGAGGATTGCAAGAGCCCCGCAATGAGATCTGCGGCCACCTGGCGCCGAAGCGCCGAGCGCGGTCTTCGGACTGATAGTCCCAAACAGCACCTGTTTGGGACTGGACACTTTTGACCACACCCCAATGTATGCACAATGTATGCACATGTGAGTATACTTACATCGAGATTGAGATACAGTGTCGCATTGGGAGTTCATCCCTTGACAATGTTGTCTGACAGGCTGGGCCCGTGTTTTGAGGCTAAACAACAGAGTAGACAGAGAAACTGGAGCTCGAGGTTTCCTCGGACAACTTCCCAGTGCACGAGCTGCGAACGATGCCCTGTCTTTTGAGGTTCTTCCAAGGCCGGCGCTGAGAGGCTGAGAGGTCGAACTCTCCAACATGCGGAGAGGTCCAATTTCATTGGAAGAACACTGACATCTCACCCCCAAAACCGTGCGGATCGTCACTTGAATTGGAAAAAGCAACGCTTAAGCGTGTACCTCCGTGCACATCCAACCGTTGAACAAACCCACCGTCAACACCGGGCACCTGAACTTGGCAAAGGTCCGACTCTACAAATGCCACGGGTGATCCCTCCGACGTGGAGGTGTCGAAAAAGTGTCTTACCCTCATTTGCAGGGGTCTGGGATCTCAACTCCCATATGTGTTGATGGACCAAGGGCTGTGAACGGAGCATAGTCCGGGGTAGTCCATGTTAGAGGTTGCACTTATGACATGTGTTGCACTTATAACAGTTTATCAGAATATCACCCCCTCCATATAGACTTGAAGGTCTACTAAGGTAGAGTCTACTATTTAAACTTGGAAGGTGGTTGTTGTTGTAAAAAGTTTTGCAATCCTCCAGTCATCAAGGTCGTTTTTTGGTACCCCTTCCTTCCCCAAGTCACTTGCATAAGCTGCCTGAACTAGAGCCAATGGAGAGGTAACCGACTCAATCGTTCGAACACACTGAGGAACTTTCCATTCGTCAACGCCTTTAAAAGTGAAGAAACCGAAATGGATGTTTTCTAAGTTGGTTAGTTTAAGTAGCATTAGCATGTGGTAATTGGTTCACAAATTGTTTGAGTGCTTTGCTTGATCCTAAGATGACAAAAACTACACGTTTTTCTTGAAGTGGTCACGTCTGGGAAATCATCTTTGCACCGCCTGGGATCTAGAATCGAGGTTTTGAAAACAACAAGGTGAAGTTGTTGGTTCCACCAACACACCCGAAACCGTTGTAAAAACACAACCCCAAAGCATCCCAACAGCGCCATGTCAACCCTTCACGCATGTTCTCGCTCCGTACCTCGCTCCCTTACCCATCCCTCCTTGTGGAGCTCGGGAGGCTTCCGGCCATCCACCAGCAGCTCCATGAGATACCGATCCAAATCCTCGGGAGGGGAGGCAACATCGGATGCTCCGTGGCCTGTGGAGTGTTACAGGATCCGCTCGGCATCGGGGGCCGGGGGAACACACAGCTTGACCACTCTGAACACATTCCAAACATACATGAACACACTTTGCCCACACACTTCCCACACAATGTGTTGGCTCCGTGCGTGGGTCCTGTGCGTAGGATGTTGTTGCCCACACACTTCCCACACAATGTGTTGCATGGAAGTGTGTTGGAACTGTGTCGGCATTTACTTTCTTTAGCAAACACCTTTGAATCTTTCGAAGAGACGACATCCTCATAGGAAAGCCTATGGAAACTTTCGAGCAAACGGCATCCTCATTGGCACGGCGGCGCTTTCTTGTGAAGTTCAAAAAGACTTTCTGGTGCACGAACGTGCACGAAGCTTTGGAGGAGTGCAAAGGGGCTGTGGCTTCCACAAGGCACAAGAGAAGCGGCAGTGCTGTGGATATGAAGCCACTGAAGGTGCTTGCCGGGGTTCAAAAACCACCCTGGTGGCATGTCACAGACACTGAAGCTGTGTGGCTGTGTGTTTGCTATAGGAACAGTGATGCTGCTACAGCCTTTGCGTCGCCTTCTCATGTTCTTGTTTGCGTTTTCTTGTTCGGTGGTGATCTACCTAGTTTGTGTCTTCTTGTTAGGTGGTGGTCCACCGAATTTATTCAGAAACACAATAATTCTCCAAACAAACATGCCGTGGTTAGTCTTTTGTTGAATCTCTATTTGGATTTTCACTCGTCGAAAAAAACATATTAAGCTAGATAAGTTACACAAGTTAGGACTTGGCTACATCTTATGCCAAGTATACCCGGTATAGTTTAGTTGTAACAATTTTCTACGTAATTACGACAAGTACACCAACTTAGTTATACGTATCTTAGCTTGGCGGTAGAACACTGCAAGAACTGTGATGGTAGATGTGCGGGAGATATGTTTTGTGGCGCATTCATATTTCAATCGCAAATAGTGTAAGCTCCATGGAGTACAGAGCTGATCAGACTCAGAATCGCAAAAAAACGTGTTGGAGCACCTGACACACACGATCCCTGCAGAAGGTTGTGCGCACATCATTGGAATCTAAACCCACACTGAGCATGTGACACGAACGATCCCTGCAAACAGCGGAACCACACACTCAGAATCGCAGAACATCTAAACGTTCGAGCATCTGACACGCACGACCCCTGCAGAGGGTTCATCGGGCACAGCGTGAAACCCAAAAACACGCACATGTAAAGCATCAGACAGACTCGCCTTCTTCGAGGTACTGGGCATACTCAAGGTACTCTCTGAGTTCTAAGTCAAAGGTCATGAACCGTCATACTCGAAGCCCCATTCTGAGCTCGCCTCCGATCTGCCTTTGTTATTCGACGCCGGGCACGACATTTCATTCCCGAGAAGCTCTGTCTGTCGGGTGAGGAACAGGATAGCACTGCTTACCTTCTTTACGATGTGCCCCAGAGCCTTCCTGGATGTGCGTCCTTTGGCAAGGATGGAGATTGAAAGTGCCAAGTCACTTAGGTGCAAATGACTCATGTCATTGCATCCATGATGTTGTGAAGGGGAAAGAACGAAGGCTTGCACAGGCACATTCTTTAAGCCTTGGAAACACAAAATGGCATTGCGGATGATCTGGACCTTCCGTTGCCTAAACTTGTTCCCCACCTGTCAGGTGAGGGTTGTTAGATTTTATGTCAACTCATGCCCTCCTTCTCCTTCTCCTCCTGCTCCTCCTTGTCCTCCGCGTCGTCCTCAATCGTGATGTCCGCTTGGCAGCGTTCCCCACCAAACCCCAACCGCAAATTACACCTGCATAGACCCCAGATATCAGGTGCTTTTTGTTTTGTCATCACTGGCGTGACATGATGTCATTGCTGGGCATGATGTGATGTCATCCCTTCTTGCAATGCATGACGTCATCCCTGGCATGATATGATGTTGTCCCTGGCATGACATGATGTCATCCCTGGCGTGACACGATGTCATCCCTGGACCAGGACCAGCACCAGCACGGCAGCAGCGCCAATCCAGCGCCAGCACCAGCACGGCAGCGGCACAACAGCACCCCCAAAACGAAAGCGCTACCACCAGCACGGCAGCACCCTCACAACCAAACCCCGATCCACAGCCAGCGCCTGCACCAGCACGTCACCAGCGCCCTCAAAGCAAAACACCGATCCAGCGCCAGCATCAGCACGGCGCGAAAGCACCAGCAGCGCCTGCACCAGCTCCAGCACGGCATCAGCACCAGCAAAACAAAACGGCAGCAGCACCCGCAAAACGAAACACCGATACTAGAGCCACACCACGGAGAAGTTAGAGCCCCCATGACCTGCAGCTATCTGGGGAACAATCACAAACACAACCACAACACAAGTACAAACACAACCACATCCACAAACACACAATCACAAACACAAGCACAAACACAACCACAAACACAAACACACAATCACAAACACAAGACACATTTACAGCACACAACCACAATCACAGCACAGAACCCGAGGACCCACAAACAAAGCCGAGAACCACAAAACTCACGACCATGGCAACATGCTCTTCACCGTGGCAATCCTTCCAGCTCTGCTTCTCGCACTACATCCCAAATGGACCGGGCGGCAGCTTCGTAAACGTGTGGCGGAGAATGTCCTGGCCGGCCACTCCTCCCGGCGGAAGAAGATTCCCCGTGCAATCGATACAGCCCTGCATGTATTGGAGGGACCTGCGGCCCACCCGCCCCCAGAGTCGCAAGGCGCCACAGCGCAGTGCCAACGTTCAATCCAAGCGCGTATGCCACATCTTCAGCAATGAAACACGCCGCTTTCCACGCAGAACACCTTTCAGCTCATCCATGGGCTCGTCTTCCAGATCAAAGAGTCTGTTCATCACCATCCAGTAGGCCTGACTCTTGAACAAAATTAAGGGCAAAACGAAGCATTCCCAAGATCCAAGCTATTCGCAAGGACTCCTCAGAACCCCAACCTTCTACGCACTTGTAAGCGGCCCAAAGCCTTCAAAAGACAAGTGGCCTGGAAGAGCCTTTTTTGAGATTGAAAAGGTGAACCCAGGCTCCTTGCTAAAGAACCCCAACAAACCCGCCACATCGGTGACGCGCGCAGCGAGGTAGTGGCCCCACGTGGTGCCCCCCAACGCCAGCACAACGATGCCACATGTCAACATCGGGGACGCAAGCTTCAGTTGCAGGCGTTGATCCAAATTCCTTCGTCCGGGATCCTTAGCCAAAAGAATTACTTTACAAGATCTTGTTCTGGTGCAGGATCTGCAGGATCTTGTGCATTCATGGTCATGAGCAGGCCAATAACATTGATAACCTCGCTGCCCCGTACCTCCGGGGATGTTGCTAGCTGCAAGTGAGAATGGACATTTTGTAGTCAGACGCCTATTTCGTGTCCCCAGACTTTTCCCATGGGCACACCTCCTGGATGCCCAGGGTACATATATACATATCATGTAGCATCTATATATATATATATATACATACTCTCCTTTGCACTGCGCTTGTGACGTTGATAAAAGAATCGTGAAATGGCTACCATTCGTGACAATGTTGCTGATAAAAAGCATCGGACGCTAATGGCAGGACGCAGACGAATACCAATGACTACCACGCTTCGCAAGCCCTGTCCAGCCAGGCTGCTGGCTCAGAAAGAATAGATATAAAGAGCCGACATATGACATGTGCGCGCACACGCTGCGAACGCAGATATGGCATGTGAGCATAATGTCAGTTAGCAGAAGTGCTTGCTGAAGCAAGACCCCAGCAAAAGTTACATCAGATACAGGCAACACCCCAGCGACATCTACTGCTTGCACATCTTCATTTGCAACGGCAAAAGTACATCTCAATTAGCAGCACATCTAGAATAGCAAGCACAGCGCAGCCACATCTGAAGCAGCAGCTCTACAAGAGCAGGCCTGCAAGCGGCATGTACTTCTGGCAGACCTGCAAAATGCAAATGTACAAGTGTCAAGTGTGATGCTTGCACATCTAGAACTGCAGCTGTAATGAAAGCAGATCTGAAGCAGCACTCTAGAAGTGCAAAGCCTGCTGCTTGCAGATCTATGGAGCAAGTGTACTGCAAAGACCGGATTTAAACACATTATACCGGCATAGACCCCAGATAGCACTTCAAGAAAAGGATAGCATGGCAAGAGCGGGAGAAAGGCTTGGGAGACATCCCACTCAAAGCCGGGAAAAGGATGGAAAAGGTAAACAAGACCTAAATCATCTTATAGCAGCATCCGCGTCAAAGGCAGGCAAGAAAATGACAAGGCGGCAGCGGCAGCCAAGAGCGAAATGAGGAACAGAGACAAGCTTGGGAACCACGGCGGCAGCGGCAGCCAAGAGCGAAATCATGAAGGGAGACAAGCTTGGGAGACCAGGCGGCAGCGGCAGCCAAGAGCGAAGTTATGAAGGGAGACAAGCTTGGGAGACAAGGCGTCAGCGGCAGCCAAAAGCGAAATCATGAAGGGAGACAAGCTTCACAGACAAGGCGGCAGCGGCAGCCAAGAGCGAAATCATGAAGGGAGACAAGCTTGGAAGACAAGCCGGCAGAGGCAGCCAAGAGCGAAATCATCAAGGAAGACAAGCTTCACAGACAAGGCGGCAGTGGCAGCCAAGAGCGAAATCATGAAGGGAGACAAGCTTGGGAGACAAGGCGGCAGCGGCAGCCAAAAGCCAAATCATGAAGGGAGACAAGCTTAGGAGACAAGCTGGCAGCGGCAGCCAGGAGCGAACTCACGAAGGGAGACAAGCATGGAAGACAAGCCGACAGAGGCAGCCAAGAGCGAAATCATGAAGGGAGACAAGCTTCACAGACAAGGCGGCAGCGGCAGCCAACAGCGACATCATGAAGGGAGACAAGCTTCACAGACAAGGCGGCAGAGGCAGCCAAGAGCGAAATCATGAAGGGAGACAAGCTTGGAAGACAAGCCAGCAGGGGCAGCCAAAAGCGAAATCATGAAGGGAGACAAGCTTCACAGACAAG